ATCTTTACTTAAGAGCTTCAATGCAGTGTTCCTCACATTTCCCTTGATATTTGTTGCATTAGTGAATTAAATTTTATTTTTTATTGAATTTTTGTGATTTTTATACAATATAATTTGATAGTAATTAGATCCCCTCCTCATCTGCCCCTCCTTCTGCTGCCCTATATATATGGCTTATAGAGTCTGATTTGTGTTCCCAAATGTCCTTCAGTGTATGAAAGAAGTAAGGAGTTCTTTTCCTAGAACTGATAAGAAATGAATGTGGAGGAGAGGTGTTTCTTCTGGACAGAGTTACCATAGGTCAGCCTGGTGCCAGATCTTCCATGCTCTATGGGCTCCCTGTGTGTAAGGCCTGGTAGTTGTGGAGACACTAGTAGCCACAGCAGAAGTTTAGCTGTGAAGCTGCCTCCTCAGAAGGGGGTTCCCCAGTGGCTCTTGCTGGCTGATCAAGCCAGTTGAGTGGGAATTCCACACCTTTTATACTATACACTTAAGTCCATCTCAAATTCCTCGTCTTACTCCCCACTTCTTTACTCTGCTGTGAATTTGCAGCCCTATATTTCTTATCCTTACTATACTAGGCTTTTCTAAACTGCATCATTGTACATGAGCTCAGCACCTGAGACATAGGAGCACCTGCAGTTTGGAATTTTGGACGTAATCTCTCATGTAGTTTAGAAGTTCATTAAATTCCTCTTGTGACCCTAAAGTAGCTTAAACCCCTACACCTATCTTGGTAGGTAAAGCTCTTTCCTTGTAAGCATGAGGACCTGACTTCAACACCTAGAACCATGTGAAAAAAAGCTTGGGGGTAGTGGCACCTGCTGGGGGAGATGGAGACAGGAGGATCCCTGGCTTGCTGGCCAGCCAGACGAGTTTAATTGGTGAGTTTCAGATCCTAGTGAGAGAGTTTGTCTCTAAAAATCATGTGGACAGCTCCTGAGTCATGGCACTAAGGTTGACCTCTGACCTACACACACACACACACACACACACACACACACAACCATATGTGTATAAGAGAGAAAAAGAGAGAGAAGCTTTTAGTGGACCGAGGGAACAAGCATGGTGCCATTTTCAGTGTGTTGAAAGCTTGTAAAATTGATCTCCGTGGTGACCAGCACTGGTTTTCACTAAATGGATGAATGACTGTGAGACATGATGTGAATGGAGAAAGGAGACTTCTCAGAGGGATTTCCCAGTGGCCATTTGATGTGATCAGGGTCCCCAAATTGAAAAGATTTGAAAGATGCTCTGTTGGCCTTCAGGCCCCTTCAGAAGATGTTGTTCTCTCAGTTTTTAAACTAGAGATAGATTGAAGACTAGACACTTAATTTCAGAATATATAGATTTTTATGACTATAAAAGACAGCTAGAGAGTGGAAGGTAGTCTGCCTTTGTAAACATTTATTATTTTTATTTTGTTTGTATGAGTGTATTGCCTGTACATATGTGAGTGCACCCGTGTTGTACAGTGCTGCCGTCAGAAGAGGGTGTCGGATTCCCCTGGAACTGGAGTTAAGGACAGTTTGTAGCTGCCATGTGGGTGCTGGGAATCGAACCCAGGTCCTCTGCAAGAGAAATCAGTGCTCTTAACTGCTGAGCCATCTCTCCAGCCCTTTGACTTTTCTTTTTAATAATGGAAATGAATGATTTTTAACTCATGAAGGACACATGGTTTCCTTTGCATTTCAACATGTCTTTCCCAGGAGTCTTTTATAGGTCTAGGACTTGTTATCCATGCTGTTTCATTCTGAACAATTATATTGTTGATTAGTAACAACCCCTGACATGGTTGTCCCCCCAAAAGCATTTTTTTGGAAAGGGTGTCCGAGTTAGGTTTCAGGAATTCCCTTTCAGTGTTGGTTGTCTATCATCAAAATTCTAGTATTTCAATATTACTCCAAGACTTTCATAATTAATTAGGTTACATTTCAGTTGGCATTAATTCACTTCCAGGGAGATTATGAATAATAGAGGTGCAATGAACCTCGTTCGCATCTGTGCTGACTTTGCAGTTTCATTTTTCAGACAGCTGAATTCTTCATCCCCTTTTCTGAGCACAGAGGTTAGGTCTCACATCCAGCAGGGGTTGGTAGACATTTGCTTGCTCATGGATGTCAGTCAGGGTCTACTGGGCGCTAGGTATTCTACCAGGTGGTTAAGGTGCATTGGTGGGTGGAAAAAAAGTAGTTTTAAGGGAAGAATAGCTGTGGTTAGATAGATGGAAATGATGTAGTAAGTGTAGATGTATGCTATTTATAGAGTGTGGAAAAGCATAGACAGCTGGAGGAGGGGAAGGGTATGTGAGAGTGTCATCATGTATGTGTGTGTGTGTGTGTGCATGTGTGTGTCATTGGAAGGTGACTGCTTTTCTCCTTTAAGACTCTCACATGCAAGAGTTACTAGAAATGGGTTTAACTATGGGTGAAAGAGTCCCTAAAAGGTGGGGGAAAAGGATGATTATGGGGACTGTTATCAGTTGTAATTCCATTATCTGGTTTTATAATGACAAGCAGAAACAGTGGCCTAAAATAATTGCTTCTAAGTCTTAGCCATGTTGCAGTGACTGTTTGCTTGAGGATGTTGGTGACTCTGGGATTCAGAGTGTTGAACACTATGATTTGCCCTTAGAGAGATTCACTTAAGACACAGTGAGGGGACCTCTCTGCAATTGGTGTTGCAGCCTTCCTTAGCTCTGGAAATTGACCGAGCTAACTTACAATGGAAGAAGTTTCTGTACCCTGTCAAGCATTCGCATGTATTTAGAGCTAAGTTTTGTCATTACCTTTTAACATTACTTGGATTATTTTAAATGAGAATGAATAGACATACTATAATTAAGTTGCACACATAGAATCATGAATTGATACACATTCAATTCACAATTTGAACAGAAAAGCATGTCTAAGTGTATGCACCTACCTTATTTCTATTGTAAAGATTGCCCTTTGATGCACATAGGGCCATACTGGATACACAGTGGAGGTTCTCAGTTGACTGCTGATAAGCTTTGAGCCACCCTTTTCCAGCTCTCCTATGGGGTCACTTTTGGGTGCATCAGTTACTGCTCTGAAAAGGATGCAGTATCAGAATCCTCCCATTCTCAGTTACAGAAGTAACGTCTGTATTTTCTAATAAGCAAACCTGCTGTTAAGCAGAATTGTAGAAAGTCAGTATGTATGAACAGGAAGGAACCCGAAGTATCTTCTGTTCTAGCCCCTCCCTTCCTTTTGTAGAAGAAAAAACAAAGGCTTAAAATTGGCTCCAAGTAGAACCTGCTGTTATTTATCATTTAGACAAGTTCATACGTCTGAGACCCTCACTACAGGGTATAGATGGAGTAACTTGCACGTAAATGTGAGTTATTACCTGTTATCATTACTCCTGTGGCAGAGCTAGACAGAAACCCACGTGCCCCAATCTCTTACTCTTTGGGAGCTATAAATTTTGTATTTCCCACTCTTACAGGAAAGAATGTTTTTAAAAAAACTTGAGTTAAAGTAACAATAGTGACAGTCATAGTGCCCAACCCTGAGCAGTTTGTGCTGTTTTCTGGGTTAGTACTTTTTTCTTTTTTTTTTTTTTTTTTTTTTTTTTTTTTTTTTTTTTTTTTTACTCCTGTGGCCCCAGCTGGCCTAGAACTCTCTATGGAGACAGGCTGGGCTCGATCTCACAGAAAGCTCTCTGCCTCTGCCTCCCAAGTGCTGGGATTAAAGGCATGCACCACCACACCCAGCTCTAGGTTAGCACTTTGTGTTTAATTTAATCTTCACACTGTCCTGTGATATTCACCTTCTAAACTGTCTCCATTTGACAAGTTGGCGAACTTGACTGAGGCCATACCATCATCAAGGGACTGGTTTTTGTTTTGTTTTGTTTTTACAGATCAGATATTTTACTGTTATCAAGTAACAAAGAACTGTTTTAAATCCTGCTCTGTCTGACTTAAATTTTATTTATTATTGTGTGTGTGTGTGTGGGGTAGTAGTTTTGTGTGTGTGTGTGTGTGTGTGTGTGTGTGTGTGGTGCAGGTGCATGTGTGCATGACACACCTGTCAAAGGACAACTTTCGAGAGTTGTTTTTCTCCTTCCACTGTGAGATCCAGGGATTGAATTCAGGTTGTCAGCTTTGCGCGGCAAGTGCTCTTCCCCCCCATCCATCTCACTGGCACTGTTTGCATTTTAATGGATTTTTAAAAATCAAAAGAAGAATACTGTTTATAAGTGCATTAGAATTGTGTGAAAATCAGGGACTGGAGAGATGGCTTAGCGGTTAAGAGCACTGCATGCTCTTGCAGTGGACTTGGGTTCGAATCCCAGCACCCACATAGTGCCTAACAACCATCTGTAACTACAGTTCCAGGGAGCCATGGGCATTGCATGACACAGGTGCACTTACATGCATGCAGGCAATACATTCATATACATAAAATAAAAAAATAATAAATTTTTTAAAAATGTGAAATTCAAATATATTGCCTATGAGTAAAGTTTTATTGGATGTAGCCACACTTGTTTGTCTACATCTCGCAGTGCTGGCGTGATGGCAGTGTTGTGTTGTGGCAGGGACCACATGTCTGGCAGAGCTGCAGTCTTTTCTGTCTGTCCTTTATTGAAAATGCTTTTCAGCCCTTCTTCTGCACCCCTCTCCAGGGATCACATTTTAAGAAATTTCCATTAGAGCATAATCGTGTGTGTTTTTTTTTGTAGGGCTCGTCTTCTCCTTGTAGCTTAGTTTGTTCAGTTTTAATTGACATGTCAATTAGACACTGAATTTAAGGGTTTCCCTTAAATTGCCTACATTTTGTCTTTCTGAGCAGACTGAGGGATGGCTTTTAGCTGGACATTGTTTGAGACTTGATGATAGCCTGCTTTTTGTCCTGACCAGGGCCTGCAGCTGTTTGTGGTTTATCTACTCTTCACATCCATTTATGGAACTATTTTTAACCCTCCAGTGCCACAGATGCAGAAATCACTCTGTCTTCTCTCCTTTGCAGTGGTTTGCTGTCTTCTGACTATGTGGAGATTCACTATGAAAATGGAAAGCCAGTGTACTCTAAGGTATGGTAAATGGACAGACCTCCTGTAGCCTGAAATACACTCATTCTAGACCTGACCAATATGCGCTGTATTCTTCTGAGGTCTATATTAGTGAGATCACCTGGCCTCCTGTGTAAGAGTACCATTTTTAGTGAGGCGAAATCTATTAGAACTTAAAATGTTTGAGACACTAGAGATATACTCAGGATTGTAAGGGAATGTTTATTATTTTGATTTATATATCCAGTACATTATTTAATGGTTTGATGAGCTGTACAGTTCCACATTAATGCTTTAAACACACTTTGGGTATCCCTTATCTGAAATGCTTGGAACCAGAAGAGCTTTGGATTTTTTTTTGTTGTTGAATATTTGCTGTTAATAGTGGTATGTGCAGTGGGGCCCTATTTTAAACATAAAGTTGATTTATGTTTTACCTATACCTTACACATATAGCCTAAAGGTAATTTTATATAACATTTTTATCTATCTATCTATCTATCTATCTATCTATCTATCTATCTATCTAACATCTATCATCTATCATCCATCTATCTTTCTATCTATATCTATCTATTTATCTATCTATCATCTATCTTATCTATCTATCTATCTATCTATTTATTATCTATCTATCATCTATCTCTCTATTTATCATCATCTATCTGTTTGTCTATCTGTCTATCTATCTATCTATCTATCTATCTATCTATCTATCTATCTATCTATCTTTGAGACAGGGTCTCCTTGTAGCCCCAGCTGGCCTGGAACTCACTATGTAGACCAAGCTGGGCTTGATCTTACAGAGATCCACTTGCTTCTGCTGCCCAAGTGCTAGGACTAAAGATGTGCGCCACCACACCTGGCTTGTATAATTTGTTAAATAATTTTGTTTATGAAGCAATTTTGTGGTATGGAAATGTCTATTTGTGGTGTCATGTTAGTGTGCAACAGTGACTGTTTAGTGCAAGTGACTGATGCCCAAGGGTAGAGGACAGATGGGGGAAATAAGATTTAAAAAATATTATTTCTTCTTCCCCTTCTTTTGAAGCTGCGTAGCTCAGGTGGGCCTCAAACTTCAGGTCTACTTGCCTTAGTCTCCTGAGTGTTGAGATTACAGGCTTGTGCTTTTATTTACCTGGTTTTTATTGTATTTTGCTGAGGATCAAGCCCAGGACCTTGGGCACACTGGGTAGATGCTCTACCATTAAGTTCCAGTCCCAGCCCTTTTCCCACTTAACCTTCACAACAAGTCTGTAAGGTGGGTATTCTTATTCTTGTTGTTAAAGGAAAGAGACTAAGGCAGAGAGACAGCGTTGCTCAGGGCCACTAAAGGTTGTAACGTAAAGGTAATTTGGCCCTTCATATCCTTCAGTTGGGAATGAACTTCTATTTGCTTTAGGAAGGACCAGTTAGAAACAAATGGGTCTAAATTAAAGCAGGAGAGAGATTACTGGTATGTAAAAAACAATGCTCTCCATTAGTTAGGGTGAAAATCCATGGAAAGACTACAGAAAAATTCTCATTTTTGGTGGCCGCCCAAGTGCCACTGAGCTTCAACAGTGCCCATGGAAGCCACAGGCATCAGAGAGAAAGCAAGAAACAAGCCAGGTGGGGGAAACACTGAATCTATTTTCTGTAGATTGCTGACAAGTTTCAGCATAGAAATGTCAGCTTTCATGCATGGATTCATGGAGCTATATGGCAGTGAGACATGGGATTTCCAGTCTCTAGCCTCTCAACACATGCTTGTAGGTGGCCAGAATCAGAAACACTGCCCATGACCATGGCATGTCTCAGGACCTGTTACTGACCAACTAACAGAGGGCATGTTTGGAATTTGCAGTGTGCAGCCTCGGAGTTGTAGCCACAGGACAAGGACTTCCACATGTGGCTCTTGCTGTCCATAGTTTTCCATAGGCTACATCTTGGGAATGTTGAGTCTTCCTAATGCTGTGGCACATTAGCAGCCATGCTAAGTCAAAGAATGGTGCTTTCTGGCTTTTGTACAAAACCAAGCTTCTGTCTGGTGTGCCAGTGCCCCGAGCTCTGTGCATACTGACTCATGAGCTTGGAAAAGATAAGATTGCACAGGGACATAAAAGACTCAGCAAATGGGCCACACTTGCAGCCACTGTAACCTGACCCCAACTTTTTGCCGAGAAGCTCAGTATTTTTTTTTTAAGAAGTAGAATAGCTAATTGGCCTGCAGAGTTCACTCGTGGTCCCCCGAAGAAGGCCTTATCATTAATAAGACATTCCAGGTCTCCTGTGGTTGTAACTTACATTTGAAACAAAAGATACATCAGCTCTGGCAAAAGAAGCTGTGTTCACTGTTGTTTAACTTTTGTTCATCCCTTTTCTCTCATTTATGACCCATTTCCTCCAAACAGCTCATGTACCCAGACCTCCTTGTGCATAGGTAATGGATTAGTGGTAACATCCTGGGTTTTATGTGTCTGCATTTATATATACAGCTCCCCCCCACCCAAGAGGATATGGTACACACATTTCTGTGCAGTCTTAAAAATTCTAATCATAGTATAAATATTTTAGCATGCATTAAATGGTTTTCTGGATCTTAATTTTTAAAAACTGCATATTTTTCTAATTTGTTGTTATTTATTAAAATACCTCATGTCATAGATATTTAGATTGCTTCCAACCTTTCCCTATCCACACCACCCTAAGGAAAAGCCTCCTACATATAGTCTGAACACACCCTTAATAATTGCTTAAGGATTAATTCTAAGAATGAGACTTTCTGGGTCAAAGAGTTTGTACATTTTTTATGACTTTTTGGTATATATGATAGCTTATGCTTCTGAAAACTTGCATAAATTCATATTCCCATTACATACATATATTTAAAAGCATTTTAAAAATGAATTTTATAAAGATTGGCTTCCATGATGTTTAAGAAAACTTTTGTGCAAAGTACCAGAAAGGAAGTTAGTATGTAGGAATGGCTAGGTTTTTATATATTATGCAAGCTTTCAAAAATCTCTAAGGACTGGAGACATGGCTCAGTGGTTAAGAGTATGTACTGCTCTTGCAAGGGACCTGAGTTTAGTTCCCAGCACCAATATCAGGTGGCTCACAACTGCCTGTAACTCCAGCTCCAAGGGATCTGACCACCTGTTTTGGACTCTTCAGGCACTTGCATTCATGTGCACATTGCCATAAACAGACATGCACATATATGCATAATTAAAAATAAAAATTAGATCTCTGACTATTTAGATAAAGGCATAAGGTACACACACACACACACACTCACACACGCACGCACGCACACACACATGCTGTTTATATGACTAGAAAATGCTGGAATCACAAACACCCTGTGGGGGCTTTGAGGTGAAATGTAGATATGGACACTTAAAATACCCTGGGTGCTAGCTGTAAACAGAATTATGCACCAGTACCCTGAAGAGCATTGTCTAGGTTTTTCCACCTCGCCATACCAAGGCACTCCCTCACTACCATTTCTAGCTAGACGAGGTTAATGTCTTTGCATTTACTTTTAGTGAATGAAAGTGGGCTGAGAAAGTGCCTTTTTCTATGAAGCAAATATAGGAACCAGAGAGGTAAAAAGGTTAATTTCGTAGTTTAGGCACCAGGTAGGTATCTGCTGAGGCACACAGAGGAACCAAGCTGCTTCCATACAATCCCTTCTAGTGTTCCTCGAACGCAGTCTATACAATAAGAAACTTTGTTGATTTCATTTTAATTATTTAAAAGGCAACTTATTTTTTTTTGTTTAAACAAGTTTATTGGGGTGTGATTTACATAGTGTAAAGTACACAATTAAATTGTTTTTACTATATTGAAAAATTATGCATCCATTAACATAATCTAATTTTAAAACATTTTTCATCACCTCACAATGAAAATGTCTTACCTGTTAGCAGTCATTCCCTAGTGATTCCCCTTCCAGTCATGAATAACCACTAATCTGCTTTTCTCTATATATAAATTGCCTATTCAGAACATAAATGAAATCATATAATATGTGGTCCTTTGAGTGGTTTCTTTTTTCCAGCTTTATTGAAGTATAATTGAAAAAATGCAAATTGTATATTTAAGGTGTGCAATTTAGAACTTATATATAAGAATGTTATGTGGTAAAGTTGTGCCAAATGTCATGCTTTGCTATATGTGTACATTGGGTAATGATCATCACACTGAAGCTAATCAACATACCCATCACTTTATGTAGTTGTTTCTTAGTGAGAACATTTAAGGCCTACCCTCACAGCACATGTTTCATATATAATATGTTAACTGTCATCACTTGGTGGTACATTTTGGCTCCACAGTCTATTTCATTTGCATAACTGAAATTTTATCCTCATTGACCAGCATTTCTTCTCACCCTCTGCTCCTGGCAACGCCATTCTTCCCTCTGCTTCCATGAGTTTGGCTGTTTTGCGTTGCACACATGGGGGCTGTGCAGCATTTGTCCTTCTCTGCTGGCTTATTCCATTTAGCACAGTGTCCTCCATACTGACATAGTGGCAGAATTTCCTTCTTTCTGAGGCTGGGTAATAATCCGTTGTACATATGTGTCTCCAGTCATGCATCCATGTTGGGTATTTCTCCATTGAACAATGCTGCAATGGACATGCAGTTCACTTGTCTCTTCAAAATTAAGATTTCATTTCCTTTCCATTTTTAATTTTTTTTTTGAGGAATCTCCATTCTCTAATTGGCTGTGCCGATTTGTAGTTCTACTGACAGTCTAAAAATGTCCACTCCAACCTTATCTTTTGTCTTTAAATCACCTTTAAACTGTGGTTTAATTTTGCAGTTCTCTAACACTCCCAGATATATATCCAAGTGAATAAAAACATAAACATATATCCATGCTAAGGGAGCAGATTCATTCTTCCTCACTTACAAAAGACAACTATATGGGGTGATAAGTCATGTTAATATGTTTAAGCAATAATCATTTCACCATATATAACAGAATTTCATCTTCTAAATCACACACACACACACACACACACACACAC